AGAGTATCCTCAGCTACACCTGAGTTCCTGACAGTGAAATCTCCCAGTAAATATGGGACCTTTGTTTTAATTCTTGGCTGTGTTTACCTTATCTTTTTGTTGTTTTGAGAACTTCCTTTTTGAAATTAGAAACTTCCTGTAGCCAGGGCGGGTATGTGACTTCAGCAGCAGCTTTTCTTTAGTTTCTCTAAAATAACTAAGATTTCACAGTAGCTAGTAGTCATGATAACGCCACTGCAAACAGCTTCTGCTTTCTGGACTGCTAGAAGAGATGAGAGCAGCAGAAGCTGGGCTAAGTCTGTCTTTAGTTTTTCAAGTTCTGTCATTCAGAATCTTCCTATACTAGGAATTGTTTGCTTAAAGCTTTAAATAAGATGAGGAAAATACTTTTATCAGGCGACAATAGGAAAAGGCTTTCCAGCCATCTGATTCTTTTCTTTGTAAAGAACAAGACCAACTGTATTTTCATATTCTTGTCTACATCTCACCCTATTGCAGACCAGTTGTCATGTTGCAAAATCCTTAAGCAAACTAGCAGATAAAAAGCAAGGTCACCTGTTCCAGTTTGTGTCAAAAGCAATATGAGCAATAAATGCTCTTGTACTTTTTGCTGACATCCCTAACTTTCTCTTGGTCGTTGGAATTAGCAGGAGAACTAGTTGATTAGTTAAGAACACGCTTCCTAAGGATCTCATAAACCCTGCAATTGCTGCACTACCTAGCCTGGCCTTCCTTATCTCCTTTGGGAGAAAGCAACATGCTATCAAGTTTTAAAATCTATGCCCAAGCGTTGAATGAAGCAAGAGATGAGTTACAGTTTTATAATCCTGCTCATTCTTGTAGTTGGCCATGTCACTCTTTTCCTAGCTTCAGGAAGTAAACGTCCAATTTGAAGTATACGCTCCTTGAGACAACATCCATTCTGTGGTTTAATTCTCAGGACAACCGTTGAGGCGAGAAATTAATGGATGTTGCCATTTTCCCTGTTTTATGAGAACATAACAGAATATTTTTTAATGTAGGTCACTCCTCCTTGCTTTCCTTTATTCCTCATGTTCTTATTTTGTTGGCGTGCGTTTGTTGGTTTTTTAAGATAGTCTTGTTTAGTAATTTTGAAGACACTGAAGGGAAAACCATGTAACTGTCAAATGGCCTAAAGCACTGCTTCTTCCAAGACAGTTACACCTACTTTTTTTTTTTTACTAGTCCTTTAGTTATATTTTAAGATACCAAGTTGGATGCCTTGCTTTTAGCTAAAACTGTTTAAAACATTTACTTCTCATGCTGCTGTTTCTGATGTTTCTTGTGTTAATGTAGGCAGAAAATTGATGTGCAATAATTTAAGAACTTTGACATGGAAGATAAAAAGTTTTTTAGAACTACAAAGAAAAATCTTCAGAATATTACAACTAGAATTCAAGGTCATAAAAAGTAATGTTTTCAGCAAGAAAAGCACTTCCAAAACAATCTACTATAAAAGATAAGGAGTCACCTACACCACCTATAGTTAGTTGAAGAGAATAGCATAACATAGGACAAAATTCTCTGAGATCAGCAAAGTCCAATGAGGTTTTCTGGTGCCCTACATTAGTCATGTTAATAAGGCCTGTTTCAACAAGTGTGGGAATAGATCTTCCCTTGGAAGCCACGTTATTTAGCTAAAGATTCAATCTGTGGACCCAGGAAGGCAGACTGACTAAGAAGCATGTGTAAAAATACTATTTTTAGATGATGTTATCTTTAGAGAGACACAAAAAGGGTGTAATTTCAAGGTTAAGTAAAAAGATACACTCTTTTGGGTTAGATCAAGAAGTTTTGGCAGTAGATGTAATAACTAAAATCAGTGGCACCTTACTTTTACCCTTCTCCCAAATGTCTTTTCTGTCATTTACAATTCACTAGATAAAAGCATTCTATGTGTGCAGTTATATTGGCATAAAAATATTTTTCCAGCACTTTACAGCCAAATTACTACAGCAAAATTTACTTTATCAAGCCTCTTATCCCACTTGAACCAGTTATTAGTGTATATTTGTCAATAAAATATCCTAAATTTGAAGAAACTTTTATCATCCTTTGACTTTTGAAGAATGCAGGGGATGTACTTTTTTCTTATTTTTAAAGAATATTTTATTATGTATAGTCACATAGTTACTGAAAAGCAGTTTTGAGTCAGGGGAGGTTCAATGGCTCAAGAAAATAATCAATAGGGTTCTTAGGCTTTCTGAAT